CGCAATATGGTTCATGGGGTCACGAAGAGTCGGACACGACTTAACGACTGAACAACAAAGCACATTCCACAGCTTCACATGTTGATATAATCAAAAGCCTTACTATAGTCAATGAAGCACATATTGTCTTCCTTTTGGTATTTTTTGGCTTTCTTGATTATCCAGCATGTATCAGCAATAATGTATCTTGTTCCTTGGCATTTTCTAAACTAGCTTGAACATCTGACATTTTTCTTTCTATTTAAGGCTCTGATCTGTATCAGATGATCCTAAGGATTATCTTCATAGTATGTGAAATTACAGATATTGTTTGAACTTTTTTACACTCCGTTGCTTCTTTGGTATTGGTTTGTAGACTGACCTCTTCCAATCTGTTAGCCACTGTGGTGTTCTCCAGATTTGCTGGCATAGATTGGTTGGAATGTTTACTGGTTCTTTTTCTGATGCTTGCCATAGTTCTGTAGATATTTCATCAGTTCCTGTAGCCTTTCAACTTCGTAATGACCAGAGTGCTGATCTAACTTTATCTAGTACCAGAAGTTCTTGTAAGTACAGTAGGGAATATCTTCTAAAGTACCTTGGATGTTAACATCTCTGTTGTACAGAATTTCAGGATACACCTTCCATTTTTTATCTTCTTTGACTCTTCTTTGTCCATTTGTTTTTGGATGCAGAATGGGTGCCACAGACAATGTATTTAAAGGTCGCAGTACATTTATGGAAGAACTAACAGATACAGCAGCAATTATTCAAAAAGCAACTTCACATTCATTAGTAATTTTGGATGAACTGGGAAGAGGAACTAGTACACATGATGGAATTGCAATTGCTTATGCTACTCTAGAACATTTCATTAGGAATGTAAGTATGTTATTTGACTGTAATGATAAATTATAATTAATCATCAAATAAGTAAAGAAAAAGTGGGAAAAAACAGAAAAGTATCTGTAGATAATATATACAGGAAGCCTTCAATATATATATACAGCAAACCTTTCCTGAGATATTTGAATTTTTAGTCAACTTTATCTCAAAGTTTTTGATAGTTTGCATGTGAGACATCACACACACAAAATTAATTAATTAAAACAATAATAGTACATATTTACAAATCAGGCTTTACCAACTTTGCCCACTACAGCCTTGTCTTTACAATGTTCTTGAAAGATTCTAAGATTCTTATTTTGGCTAGTTTTTCACTAGCAACGGGGAAGGGTTTTCAGATGTTGAGATGCTCAAAACAATTCCATGGAATGCAATTTAATTATGATATTACTGGAATTATATTTATAGACTTAATTATAACACTAAAGTGTTCAATCTAACATTGTCAGCCTGAAAAAACTACCCACCATGGATGATAGTGAATGGCTGGTATAATTGGGGCATGCTTCTTTAGGACTTAGATCTCAGTTAATTCCAGAAGTTCTCTTAAAAGTGAAGGATGTAAGTATACATACTCCTCATATCTGAAACTAGAGAGATGAAAGAATTTGCCCTCTGAATAACCTGGGATTAACATGGACAGTGAAGGATCAATTTGGGCCCCATCTTACCAAATAAAAATTCTAAGTATTAATGAATATTAAGGATCCCTTTATGCTGTAGAACCAAACTTAAAAAATCAGGTTTAATTAAAGGAAAATGATAGTTAGGTTATCAGCTTGCTGTTAGTTGAGGATGTACTTTCAAATCTTAAATATATATTTTTCCCCTCTAGGTGGGTTCGTTGACACTATTTGTTACCCATTATCCTCCACTGTGTGAGTTGGAAAGAACCTATCCAGCCCAAGTTGGAAACTACCATATGTCTTTTTTAGTGAATGAAGATTATAGTAAACCAGAAGATGGTATGATATCAAATTTACCAGACTGATAACTTCTTTTTAGTAATTCCTTAAAACTGTTTAGTTGTCTGTGTCTTAGCTTCAGTCATCTTAGTAGGTGTTAGTAACAATTAATATGATTAAAGCTAAACTTAAAACTTCCATATTCAGGAAGAGAATTAGAGTTATTGAAAACTGGGTGTCTGTGGTGGGTAACAAGGATGTGCAAAACTGAACATTCAGAAAAATCCAAGAATTCTGTTTCTTCTCTGATTGATGTTTTGGCTGAGACAGAAAGTCCAGCAATATTCCAGAAGTGAATCCTCCATTTGAGAAAGTATCCATGATATTCCGGATATGGTTCAGCCCCAAAATTGGCTTGTTTTGTCCTGAAGCCCATAACTAGGACCCCATGAACCACTTCCAGTTTGGGGAATTAAATTCCATAAAACTGCCAGTCTATGTCTAGAACAATTAGATCAACATGGTCCAGAGAAGAAATGGAATGTTCTGGAGATCTCCAGAAATTTCCATTTTCATAACTAGGATTTGCATATACCTAGTTAGAAGTAACTTTAAAAACTTACTGAAAGAGTTCAGTGTAAAATGATAATGAAATATACTTTTTCTTTTTAGATTTTGAAGAACAAGATCATCTAGACTTTGTCACTTTCCTTTATCAAATAACCAAAGAAGTTGCTGCAAGAAGCTATGGTCTAAATGTTGCTAAGCTAGCAGATGTGCCAAAAGAAATTCTTAAAAAGGCAGCTCATAAATCAAAGGAACTAGAGAGATCAGCTAATATGAAAAGGTTAGAAAATAGATTGGTTTGCTTTTTTCTGTAATATAGTGTTCAAAGAGAAGTGCAGCTCAGAAGTGTGCAATTGTATGCCTATGCATCTGTCTGTGAGTGGGGTTGTATGTATGTGCTAAATAAAAGCAATTAATTTTAGTAGTAGATAATAGTACATGTTCTGTTAATATAATTTTGTTTGTCCTGGCCCTTTTTGAAATGTGGTTTCTGGCAGGCATGTATGAATGTGTGTGCGCATGTGTCTAAAACACATAAATCCATACACGTACAGAAGTGTGTAACTTGTAGACATTTATTGAGAATCTCTAGGATTGGTTTTAACTGAAGTTGGCAGCTCTCCAGCTTGAAAGCTGGCTGCTGTGCAGATTTGTGCCTGTGTTTTCAATCTATTCTTTCGTTGGGAAAATGCCTTCAGTACAAGGTTGTCTTCCTCTCAGATAAAAATGATATGTAGTGATATGATATATGGACTACCCACTTTAATTCCTACAGTCTGAATTTATTATTTATGCATATACAAGCATTTCTTTGCCCAGCTCCCATGATTCCCAGTAGTATAAATGCCAAAGTATAAAGTATTTTCTATTTAATTTTATTTACAATACTGTGAAGAAAATATAAAAGCGAAATACATATAACTTCATTTAAACACATTATCCAGGAACTGAAATTGGTAATAAACACATGCCTTTGTTGCACATAAAAAGTTTAAACCAAGTACGATAAAAATAGTCTTCTGCATTATCATAACGTTGATTTTTGGGGGGAGTCAACTTTTCCATTAGAGTGATTTTCCAATGTATTTGCTATCATGTGGAAATATTTATAGTTTAATGTTTTAATTCCTATAGTATCTCTTTTAATCCCTTTGCCAAGCTTCCCCAATCTTCAAGATGTGTTTTCTACCTTAATGATAAAAGAGTAGCAGTCTAGAAACATGCAGAGACTATTTAATGTTTTAATTCCTATAGTATCTCTTTTAATCCCTTTGCCAAGCTTCCCCAATCTTCAAGATGTGTTTTCTACCTTAATGATAAAAGAGTAGCAGTCTAGAAACATGCAGAGACTATTTAATGTTTTAATTCCTATAGTATCTCTTTTAATCCCTTTGCCAAGCTTCCCCAATCTTCAAGATGTGTTTTCTACCTTAATGATAAAAGAGTAGCAGTCTAGAAACATGCAGAGACTAAGA